TTCCTAACTTTAAAAACACCAAAGTTATGTCATTTCCAATCGTTCAGTTATATGGCAGCTATAAGATATATTCGGCAGATCCTTATGAAATTCGGTAGGTCGGATTGATTGGCCAAAAATAAAACCCATAGAAAATCCCAACTTCCTAACTTTACAAACACCAAAGCTATGGCATTTCCGATCAATCAGTTATATGGCGGCTATAGGATATAGTCGTCCGATCCCTATGAAATTTGGTAGGTCGGATTGATTAGCCAAAAATAAAACCCATAGAAAATCCCAACTTCCTAACTTTAAAAACACCAAAGTTATGGCTTTTCCGATCGTTCAGTTATATGGCAGCTATATGATATAGTGGCCCGATCCGGCTCGTTCCGACTTATATACTACCTGCAATAAAAAGACAACTTTTGGGAAAGTTTCAAGCAGATAGCTTTAAAACTGAGGGACTAGTTTGCGTAGAAACGGACGGACAGACGGACAGACGGACAGACGGACGGACAGACGGACATGGCTAGATCGACTCTCCTGGTGATGCTGATCAAGAATATATATACTTTATAGGGTCGGAAATGTCTCCTTCACTGCGTTGCAAACTTTTGACTGAAATTATAATACCCTCTGCAAGGGTATAAAAATAACACCAATAAACAAGAAAGGAAAGCTAACTTCGGGCGGAGCCGAAGTTGATATACCCTTGCAGAATACTCTGTAAATTATATTCTCCAAAATTATTCATATGATGCATTCTTAATACTCATAAAAAATCCGAACTTCCTAACTTTAACAACAACAAAGTTATGGCATTTCCAATCGTTCAGTTATATGGCAGCTATAGGATATAGTCGGCCGATCCTTATGAAATTTGATAGGTCGGATTGATTGGCCAAAAATAAAATCCATAGAAAATCCCAACTTCCTAACTTTACAAACACCAAAGTTATGGCATTTCCGATCAATCAGTTATATGGCAGCTATAGGATATAGTCGGCCGATCCTTATGAAATTTGGTAGGTCGGATTGATTGGCCAAAAATAAAATCCATAGAAAATCCCAACTTCCTAACTTAACAAACACCAAAGTTATGGCATTTCCGATCAATCAGTTATATGGCAGCTATAGGATATAGTCGGCCGATCCTTATGAAATTTGGTAGGTCGGATTGATTGGCCAAATATAAAACCCATAGAAAATCCCAACTTCCTAACTTTACAAACACGAAAGTTATGGCATTTCCGATCAATCAGTTATATGGCAGCTATAGGATATAGTCGGCCGATCCCGGCCGTTCCGACTTATATACTGCGTGCAAAGGAAAGAAGGGTGTGTGCAAAGTTTCAATCCGATAGCTTTAAAACTGAGAGACTAGTTTGCGTAGAAACAGACAGACGGACAGACGGACAGACGGACAGACGGACAGACGGACATGGCTATATCAACTCAGGAGGTGATCCTGATCAAGAATATATATACTTTATAGGGTCGGAGATGTCTCCTTCACTGCGTTGCACACTTTTGACCAAAATTATAATACCCTCTGCAAGGGTATAAAAATACCAACTTACTAACTTAACAAACACCAAAGTTATGGCATTTCCGATCAAACATTTATATGGCGGCTATTGGATATAGTCCGTCAATCCTTATGACATTTGGTAGGTCGGATTGATTGGCCAAATATAAAATCCATAGAAAATCCCAGCTTCCTAACTTTACAAACAACAAAGTTATGGAAGTTCCGATCAATTAGTTATATGGCAGCTATAGGATATAGTCGGACGATCCTTATGATATTTGGTAGGTCGGATTTATTGGCCAAATATAAAACACATAGAAGATCCCAACTTCCTTACTTAACAAACACCAAAGATAAAACCCATAGAAAATCCCAACTTTCTAACACCAAAGTTATGACATTTCCGAAGAAACATTTATATGGCGGCTATTTGTTATAGTCCGCCGATCTTTATGACATTTGGTAGGTCGGATTGATTGGCCATATATAAAACCCATAGAAAATCCCAACTTCCTAACTTTACAAACACCAAAGTTATGGCATTTCCGATCAATTAGTTATATAAAAGCTATAGTATAAGGCCGGAGTTCCGTCGGCCGATCCTTCCTAACTTTACAAACACCAAAGTTATGGTATTTCCGATCAATAAGTTATATGGCGGCTTTAGTATATAGTCGGCCGATCCTTATGAATTTTGGTAGGTCGGATTGATTGCTCAAAATCCCAACTTCCAACTTCCATTTAATCAGTTATATGGCGGCTATAGGATATAGTCGGGCGATCCTGAAGCAATTTGGTAGGTCGGATGGATTGGCCAAACATAAAACCGATAGAAAATCCCAACTTTTTTAAACTTTGCTTGCTGGACGACAGACTAGGACTGGATGGTACCTAGTTGCCCCATGCTACTTTTATTGGCCTCTGATTACAAATACATGAATATATAGGTACAATTAATGAGAGAGAGAGAAATTTACATGGCTTTGAGACAGATTAGTACTTAAAGCTAGGTTTAGTATAACAGTTTAAATTGTAACAAAGTCTACCACAATTCTGGTACGTGTCTTAGATAACTTTAGCTAGGAGCTCGACAGTTGGTAACATTAATTTTAGTACATATACAATTCGTGGGAGCCACGAATAATTTGAGCATTTTTAGGTCTACATCATTCGGCAGTCAACAGAGCCAAAAGAGCGTGAATCCACAACCGACTATCAGCAAAAACGACGTCCGCGCAGCACCATATCGCCGAAGAAGCAGACCATCGCCGGCAGTAACTCCTCATCGCATAGAGCCGCCAGCTGAAACAACCATTGGATGAGGAAAAACAGCCAAGAAGTCCCGGAGGGGATACAATCCAATACTGTGGAGCGCAGCCGCCATCCCTCGCCGCACCTCACCGCACACAAGACAGGTATGTGCATTCACTACAGCTGGGCGCAAACATGGGGCGAAATGTATCCGCCAGTCACTCCGCAGCGCACAAGAGAAACTATCTCAGTAAGAGATTCTCATAACCGCCTCGCAAGATCTTTGGGTAGTCACACGCCGGCGTCCATGTGAGGCCCCAGGACTCAGTTGTCAGGACTTAAAGTTCCCTCGCCGTAATTTAAAGGCTCGCGTGCAGGTCAATCCAGAGTGAGTTTTGGCATATAAAATCATATTTTGCAGTATAAATGTACGGCGCAGCTGGAGCTCATCCGCGCACCAAGGAGTCCATTTGCTCGTGGGAGAGAAGCCCCCTTTGCGGTATTAGGAGCCACGGATTTAGTTTCACGACGCCTCCGTTTTGAAAAACCTCCGCCGCGGCGTCTAGAAACTCCAAACGCCTCTGTAGTTCTCCTTGCAAGTGGTCGTCTACTAGTGTCCTTTGGGTGGCAAGAAAGGAGAGGATGTCGAGGACTCGTCGCAAGTGTGAGTTTTGATTATTATATTAAATAATTGGAGGCGTAACCAGTTTTATTTTGCAGCAAAACAACTTATCAAAAGACAAATTGTCAGCTGGAGAAAACTCGGTCGTGGTGAGAAAAAACAGCTGTTTCCGTGTCGTAGCAGGTTGGCATCTCCAGAAAACAGTCGTTTGGCAAGCGCATACCGCACCCCCGCTAGCCTACAACCTGTGCGTTGGATTCTCTTGCCCCGTGAAGTTTTTTGGTAAACATCCCACGCCGCTGTCAAAGTTATAAAAGCATAATCAATCTCTTTTTGCAGATAAGGAAAACCAATTCCGCCAGAGCAGTTCGTCAGTTGGAATCACTTGGATTTTGGTGAGATGCCAGCCATTTTGGTGCCACATAAAGACGTCCGCCTTCCGCCGCGATTTCATCGCTCATCACGAATTTCACCGCACACAGAAAAAGGCGTGTGCATTCGCTACAGCTGGGCGCAATCTTGGGGCGAAGGTGGCAGGCGGCAATCACTGGTGAGAGGCAGCTGGAGAACCCACTTCTTAACCGCGCACAAAGGAGTCCATTTGCTCGTGGGAGAGAAGTCCCACTTTGCGGTCCTTAGGAGCCACGGATTTAGTTTTACGGCGCCTCCGATTTGAAAAAATCGCCGCCACAGCGTCTAGGAACTCCAAACGCCTCTGTAGTTCTCCTTTCAAGCGGTCGTCTGCTGGAGTCCTTTTGGGTGGCAAGAAAGGAGAGGATGTCGAGAAATCGCCGCAAGCCCTTTTTTTGTTTTTAAAAAAAAAAATCCAACGCCGCCGCCGTTTCGCAGGTTTACTGCAGAGATTCAGTGCTTCGCCGCTGTTTAAAGACAGTTTTATTTTGCAGCAAAACAACTTATCAAAAGACAAATTGTCAGCTGGAGAAAACTCGGTCGTGGTGAGAAAAAACAGCTGTTTCCGTGTCGTAGCAGGTTGGCATCTCCAGAAAACAGTCGTTTGGCAAGCGCATACCGCACCCCCGCTAGCCTACAACCTGTGCGTTGGATTCTCTTGCCCCATGAAGTTTTTTTGGTAAACATCCCACGCCGCTGTCAAAGTGATAAAGCATAAACAAACTCCTTTTGCAGATAAGGAAAACCAATTCCGCCAGGGCAATTCGTCAGTTGGATTTTGGTGACGGGCCAGCCAATTTACGCCGCAATTTCATCACTTGCCTCGAAAATTACCGCACACAGGTCAGGATGTACATTCGCTACAGCTGGGGCGCAATCTTGGGGCAAAATGTATCCGGCCGTCACTCCATAGCGCACAAGAGAAACGTCAATGTGAGGCCCCAGGACTCAGTTTCCAGGATTTAAAGTTCCCTCGCCGTAGTTTAAAGGCTCGCGTGCAGGTCAGTCCAGAGTGAGTTTTGGCATATAAAATCATATTTTGCAGTATAAATGTACGGCGCAGCTGGAGCTCATCCGCGCACCAAGGAGTCCATTTGCTCGTGGGAGAGAAGCCCCCTTTGCGGTATTAGGAGCCACGGATTTAGTTTCACGACGCCTCCGTTTTGAAAAACCTCCGCCGCGGCGTCTAGAATTTTCGCTTTGGTGCCGGCAGTGCGGACACTAGTAAGACCATTTGCCTATAGCAGGGCAATGGCTATTTATTTATTTCAGCTTTTTAGTGTATAAGCTATATATAAATACTATTTAGCGGCCAGTGGCAGAGGCCAATACAATAAAAGGCTTTAAGACATATAACAAAAATATACTGACAATAGGAACTGCGAATATCGATAGCGATGCGTCGCGATCGATACTCGCGGCTACGATTTATGAACTAGTTCATTGGTATCGCAGCCGCGAGCATCGACGGCCTCACATCACCATCGGTATCGCAGCCCTTTTTGTTTACATTTCAGAGTTGGAATAAATTTCTTTCATGTATTTCATTTTTCTTATTAGCGCCAGCGCTTTTCGGTGGATGCCCTCCTTGTTTCGACGGGATTGTCTACGGGAGTTGTGTACAGCTGAAGCTAGCAGCAGGTTCAGCGTTAGTTCCTCGGGGTCCAGAAAAGGTGCCCGAGAGGAGCTCCAGCCAGCGGATGAGTCGTTGCTCAAGGCATCTGCTGGGGTCAAACCAGCTGCAGTCAACAGATCCAGGTGAGCAGTGGGAGGAGACTCAATGCCAGCAGCAGGCCGGTGCCAGATGTGGCCGATGGTTGTTAATTTCGACTTCTTTCCCATCCGTTGGACTTGGGGCAGTAGCAGGTGCGCCGGTCAGCTGGTGAGTATAAGATTGCGAGTTTTTGCGGACGCTTTTTTACTTACAATTTTATTTTTTTTTTTTTTTTTTGCATCATGAGGGAGTAACGCAGCTAGTGATTACGCCAGCAGCCAGGCTTGGAGCAGTGTTGCCAGTGTCTACAGAGCATCCAGTCAGCTGGTGTCCAGGAATTTGCCAGGTTTCTTGCACACTGGGGAGCCAATTGGGACCCGTTTTTGCTGCTGTGGGCGGTGTTTGTGCTGCAGAGTCTGGAACGCAGGAGGCGCCAACCAAGGCTGAAGTAGGTGCCAATTTTTGGTGACATCAGTGCAGCTCCAGCCAGCAGATGTGGTGTTGCCGGATACATCTGTTGGGGAGAAGCTAGCTGCGGAGTTTGTGGCGATGCCATCCAACGGGACCAAAGGAGCAGTAGTGGGAGTATCAGTTCCCGCAGTAAGCCAAGCAGTAGGAGCCAGTGGGGTGAGTAAGAAATCGCCAATTTCCGTGTGTGTTGCTGACTGTAATCTTATCTCTCACACCAGGAGAAAAAAGCGCAGCAGAGTTGGTGTTTGCTGGCACATCAGAGTCCAGTGTAGCGGAGTCGATGATGGCGTTAGTAGCCAGGCGTGGAGCATCATCAGGAGGAGATATCTCGGCTGCAATCGAATTTTGGGGTCCTAGAGCATTGGAGCTGATGTCAGCGTTGCCTGTCAGCTAAGAAGAAACTCAATGACAGCAGCAGGCCCGTGCGCTTGTGGTCGCTGGTTTGTTAGTTTCGACTATTTTTCCCATCTGTTGGACTTGGGGCAGCAGCAGGTGCGCCGGTCAGCAGGAGGGAGTAGAGAAAACAAACCAATGCTCGCTGGAGCTTCTGGAGAACTCAGAGTGGTTTCGCCGGTAGCCGGGATTGGAGCAGTGCTGCCGGCGTTGAGGGAGCGTCCAATCAGCTGACGATCAGAGACTTGCCAGTTTCTTTGTGCACTATGAGGCGAGCTGGTCCCCGTTTCTGATGCCAATGGCGGTGGTTGGGCTGATGAGTCTGGAACGCAGGAGACGCAGCTCCAATCATCAGATATGGTGTTGCCGAATAAAAGCGTTGGGGCTAGTCCGGCTGCAGAGTTTGTGGCAGTGCCTTCCAACGGGTTCAAAGGAGCAGAAGTAGGAAACTCGGTAGCAGCGGTAAACCAGTGCAAACGTGGCTGTTGGTTTTTAACTCCAGTTATTTTTCTCGCACTAGGATGAGATATCTCAGCTGCAATCGAATTTGGTTGCATTGGAGTATTGGAGCTGATGTCTGTGTTGCCTGTCAGTCTTGGGGCAGCGGCAGAGGTATCAGTCAGCTGGTGAGCAGAAAGTCGCTGAATTTCATATGCGCTGTTAACTATGATTTTATCTCTCGCACCAGGAGGGAGTAGCGCTGCTAAGTTGGTGTGAGTCGGTACTTCTGGAGGACCTAAAGTATCGCAGCTACTGATTTCGCCAGTATCCGGCCTTGTAGCCGTGTTGGCGACGTCGGCAGAATCATCTGTGTCTAATAGTTCCTTTTCCAGACGCAGTTTTAGCCTGTTGAGGCCAGCCTCGAGTTGCTCCTCTGGCGTTGGCGGTTGGATCTCGGACGGTAATAGCGGGCTCATAATAAGCCTTTGGATGTATTCCGGCTGGAAGCGGATTTTGCGAGCCATGTCCCAACGGCTGATTGAGCCGCTTCTGACTAGCCGTGATTGATGATTGACCCAATCTATCGATGGTCGTTCCTGAGGTGTACCAGACGAAATCGCAAGTTCTTGTCTTTGTCGGGCGTTGTTTTCTTGCTGCTCAACTCGCAACTGATCCTGCTGCAGACTGTATTGTTTTTGTTGTTGCTGGTCAAGGCGAATTAATGTGGGCACTACCTGCTGGTGTTGTTCCGGCTGCTGGAGCAGAAGTTGTCGCAAAGGTGCGAAATGCGTCTCAAGTTGTTTGCTGTACACAGGAAGATCCTGGTTATTTGGAGTAAATAAATCTATAAGAAGATTTCTGGCTTCTGCATTCGGGTGTGCATAGAGGGAGTTGGCGAGCCTGCCACTAGCGTCGTCAAGTACCTCCTGTGCCGATTTTACCTTATAGCAGCTTTGTATAACCTTGTTTCTTGTGTAGCGGCCAGCTTGCACCACCCAGCGTAAGATTTTGTTCTGGGAAACTTCAATTTTTTTGAATTGAGTTTTGGAGACCAAGGGGCCCCAGACTGGGAGGGCATAGTGCCAGATTGGCGCAATCATCTGCTTATAAAGTAGTGCCTTGCTTGCGGCTGGGAGCTTACTTTGCTTCCCCAGTATCCAGTTTAGTCCGTAGGCAGAGGCACGTACTCTGTTAGCGAGTTGGGTGGTATGGTGGTTAAGTTTAAGCCTCTTGTCCAGTAAAAGCCCAAGGTAACGGTGTTTAAAATGGCTTTGGATTATCTTGCCATGAATTAATGGAGCCTTAGGCCCTCGTGAGACCGAGACGGTGCGGTTTGAAAACATAACGTGTACTGTTTTGTTCGCATTGAGGGTAATGCCCCAGTCTGACGCCCATTCTGTGATTTCGTATAGATAGGTGGTGTTTGTGTTGATAGCTATGTGCGCTGCTTTGTCTGCGCACATGATGATAGTATCATCCGCATATGTTGAGAGCAGCATGAATTTATGGTCCACCTGTTCTTTGAAAAGGGTTCGTTCAACGGAGCTTGGGAGCGGCATATCTGCTGTATAAATTGTGTATAATATGGGTCCCAAGACACTGCCTTGAGGGACACCCGCGGCAATGGTTCCAATTCTGGATTGGTGCCCGTTGTATCCGTTGACAATAAATGTGCGGTTTGTGAGGTAGCTATCAAGAGTTTTGAGGAGGCAGTAAGGTAGTAGCTTAGCGAGCTTCAAGAGCAGACCTTGGTGCCAAACACGGTCAAACGCTTCACTAACATCTATAAAAACAGCAGAGCAGTGAAGCTTTTGTTTGAAAGCGTTCTGTATGAACTGAGTCACTCTAAATAGTTGTTGCTCTGTGCTGTGCCCCCTCCGAAAGCCGAACTGGTGAGCGGGGACTGCATCCTCAAAGTCCTTACACCTGAACATCCTTTTCATTAGGAGCACCTCAAAAATTTTGGAGAAGCCAGCCAAGAGGCTGATTGGCCTATACGAGTCAACCTCATGATGACTTTTTCCGGGTTTTTTAATCATGGAGATGTATGCGCACTTCCATTTTGAGGGAAAGTGCCCGTATCTAAGGATGCAGTTGTAAATGTAGGTAATAAAAATTACGGCTTTATGGGGAAGTTTTTTGATGAGACTATTTTCAATCCGGTCTCCCCCGGGGCCTTTTTTATTTTGTAGGAGTTTAATCTCTAGATAAACTTCTGCAGGTGTAATTGGCTTAAACCGCACGTCAGCAACAGGGTGGTCTCCCCCATAATTCTCCCTGTGCAGCCACCTAGTCGTCGTGATTAATTTCTTATGCCTAATGATTTCTCTTGACTCAGAAATTACAGTATCCCTATATTCAGCTGAAGTTGTTAGTTTTGGTGTAAACCTTTCTTCAAGGTGCTTAACGAAAGCTTCAGTTTTCTCCTCGCTTGTCTTTGTCCAAGTAAATGTTTCCCTACTACTACCACCACCATTTTCACACTTGATTTTTAAGGGCCAGTTTGGCTCCGGTTTTCTCTTGAAACGATTAGCAATTTTCCAGAGTTTTTGGGCGCGATAGCGGTCCGTTGGGTCGATGTTGTTAAACATTTTGTTGTTAATTTTAGTTTTTTCCTCCTGCACAGATTTAGAAAAGGCACGACTGTGTGAATTATATATTTTCCGATTTTCTGGAGTGGGCCTGGCAATAAAATTACGCTTACTAATATTTTTGGCATCAAGTTGATTCTGAAGACGTTAACTAAGAATGATTTGCCCTGGCCGATGATGAGTACGCGAGCTTCTATTTTGGGAAGCTGCCGCAGCCGCACAGTAAATTTTGTTGTAGAGGGAATCAATTACGAGCTCAATGTCCTCCCCTGAAGAAATTTCGGTGTTGAGGTGAATTGAATCTGATAGAACACGCTGGAATTTTTTAACGCTGGCTCTGGGTGGTAGGAGCCGACGTTTTTTGGCGCTGTTTTCAAAGAATCCATTTACAGCCAACTCAATGACAATAGGGAGGTGGTCAGACTGCAGATCAACTATGGAATGTGTACGAATCCTATCGCTAGGAATGCCTGAATAGATTGCGAAATCAATTGCTGATGGCTTTTTTCTACTATCAAAGGGGTAGTGAGTGGCGCCTCCAGTCGCTAGTACGTTTAGCTGTTTATTTAAGTGAATCGATCGCAAGAGGTTCCTGCCTCTTGCACAGGATCTCATGCCTCCCCACCAGGGGTTTTTTGCGTTCCAATCCCCGCATATAATAATTTTGGAGCTATACGATAGTTTTTTTATGTGGTCGAATAACTTATTAAAATGGACATCAGACCAATTATGTTGAGGTGGAAGATAAACTGGGGCTATAACTATTTCTTCCCTATTGCCAACTGTGATGGCTAGTGGGCAGCTTTGTAAGTAGTCTTCTAATATTGGCTGCAAGGCTATATGTTTAAGATCTGCCTTTATGTACACGGCCGTGCCACCACTTCTTTTGGTGGGGTGTGTGGCGGTGTATAGAACGTAGCCATTTATGTGTGCTTTGTTAATGGTGGTGGTAAGTGGGTCGAAGTTAGAGGCAAGGCGGATTTCAGTAATAATCATTAAGTCTAATTTATTTTGCTGAATAAAAAGTTCTACTTCAGGGAATTTGTTGCCAAGGCCACAGGCGTTCCAATACGCAATTTTGAATGATTTGCATAGGGAGACGCCTGCATTTGCTATTGGCTGAGTGGGATCTTCTGAGTAAATTCTGGAATTTCGTCTAGCATTTCTTGTATTAGGCATGGCATTCCTCATTAACATTTATTTGCCCCTTGGATGAGGCAATAAGGAGGTGTACTAATTTAAACAGGGCATCAACTTTTTTTCCCATTTCACTCACGGCAACCAGGTTTTGCTGGACCAACTGCATCATTTCATCAGCAGTGAATAAAGGCGGAGCAGATCTAGTTTGGTTTCCCCGCAGCATGTGTGGTTCCCGTTGAAGTGGCTGCCTGCGTTGTTGATGGCCGCTCGTTGTAGGGGGAGACTTTTCGCTGTTATTCCTGCTGGGAGAAAGAGTATTAATGCGGGCTGTATGACAGTTTTCCCTAACACCACGTTGTTCAGCTTGTAGTCGGGTCTGAAACTCTTTCAGGTGATTTTCTGCAGGATTTTTAGCAGGAATGGTTTTTGTGAGATTTTTATTGAGAGCCTGACTATAGGTGGCTTGGTTGACTTTGCTAGGTATACTGCGAAAGGGGTTTTGTACTCGTGAAGACTCTTCAGGGCACGCCCTTGTTTCGCCTGGCAGGTTCGTCGTATTCCGGTGAGTTTGTCGCTGCCTGTGCTCAGTGTT